TGTGTGTGTGTGTTTGTGAAGGTAACACACACACACTGTAAGGAAAAAAGAGAGGAATGGGAATAAGTGGTGGAAGAGAAAAAATGAGATGTGGGGGTGAGAGAGAAAACCAGTGAGATGAAGAGTAAGAGAGGAAGCTGGAGAGATTGAACTGTCAGCAGCTTGACTTAATCTTTTTTTTTTTCAAGATGGAGATGAGACTTGACTCTGTATATATGTGACTCTGTGTGTGTCTCTGTGAGCGAGACGACTCCATCCTGTTTTGAAGTAACCTAATCTTGGATGGAGACCTTGTCCACCCCCCAAAAAAACTTCAGAAGACTGAAACTCTAAATCCCTAATAACTAGCCTTTGTCAATCCTAAATTACCCCTGTATCACAAACACACAGAAACTCACTCGCAGACAGTCGTATAAGGAAAAGCAAAGGGCTTATGGGTGCACATTGCACATGCTTAGACTCACAGTTTTGCAGTTTATTAGTACTTGAGGCAGAGAAATAAATAATTTAGTTTTAACTTAAATATATCAAAACTTTGTGATTCAAGTACAACCACAATCTAACAACTTTTTCTCTTTACCAGATGCCAGGCAGAGGGACAGATCATCGGTTGGCACCACGTTATGAAGAGGTGGAACGTCAGTATGCCTCCTTACCAAGGTACTGCTTATTCTCCCTCTGTTGTATAAGATCCAAAAAGTAAATGTTTTAATTCAGGTATCACTGCTTTCTGTTTTCTTCTTCTTCCTCCCCTTCTTTTGTCCTCTCCTCCTCTTTTTGAAGCCTCTAATTAAATCTGTGTAGTCTGTGTGTCTTTCCGAGTGTCTCTGGAGGCCTCAGGCTCAGCCAGGAACTCACCTTATCCCCTCCCTGGGGAACACACACTCAGACAGGGGTTGAAAACTGATACTCCTAGATCTGCACCCCCACCAAAACTTGCTTTGCCTTACACACATCAGTAGCTGTCATGAGTGGATTCTCTGCTGTTTTATTTATTTATTTACTCTCTAATTTTAAACCTCGGCTATCTTAGTTTGGTGTCTGTATGTTGCATTGAACTAGCGAGGCAGCAAATTTCAGTCAAATCTTTTAATTTTGGCAATAGTGTTTTGTTTGTTTTAGAAAAAAATTATGCACAGTTTTAATTACTACACTCTACTGTAAATGTTGCATACATTATTAAAGGATAAGGAACTCATCGTGCTCATGTAATACAGCATGTTCTCTGCTTTTCAAATCAGCAACATGAGCTGATGTCACTAAGACACTTGATTTTCAGTATGTCCTCACACTGAACAGCATGTGTAGTGTTACCACGTGTTTGCACAGAACAGCTATTACTGGATTTTAAAGTTAAAGATAGCTTTTGAAATTCAGATTTATCAACAATTAACCCTTTTTTTGGGGAATATTTAACTAAAATATTCATTAAGCCTTGTTAGTTTCCTAGTAATGTAATTTAAGAGATGAAGATTTTTTGTTATTTGTTTAACAAATTATCAAAAGAACTTCTTTATTCTAAGTGGGATGTTTTTGCATTAGCTTTACACAACATATTTGGGATGTTGTAATAATGAGTTATTCATTTATACATTTCTTTTTCATTGTTTCATTTTTATTTTCCAGTCCACTCTAAGGGAGTTTTTCACTTTCTGTTTTAATTCAGTCAGACTAAGTATTCCACAGTTTCTTTCTATTTATTCAGACAGTTTAAAAGCCAGGAGGCAGGTGAGTAGAGGACACAGGAGAGACAGCTCTGGTCAAACTTGACAGTCAAGCAGGGAGCTTAACCACTCGACTATCTCTGTGCAGCATGCGTTAGCCTATTTCCTGGTGCATTTTGTGGTTTTCCTCCCTGGACAGCATGAAATATCACTAACATTAGCCAACACAAGAACAATAACAGCTTCCTGAGTCCACCAATCAATTCTTTAAGGATTGTTTCTATTTATTTCTCATGCTGTGTTTTCTGATGTAATAGCTGTTTAAAAGATTTTTTTTTATTTGCTTGGGTTGTGTATGAAACCGCAGCTGTTCACTGACCAGTAAACATCTCAATGTGAAACACAGTCGAAGACATACTATATTTTCCAGCCATCATCAGTCACTCCCGGTCTTTCAGCATCTCATTTTTCATTTGCAACCTTTCCACTTTCACTGCCTGAAAGGCCTCGACTTTAATTCTCTTCTCTTTCTTCACTCTTTCACTGTCTTAACATCTCCATTTTTTTCTTCTCCTGTACTCTCCTTTCTTAATTCCCTCTCTTCTCCTTCACATTCCCTATTTTCTGTATAATTTTTTTCCCTTTATTTTCCAAAGATAAATAGTACTGCAGTAATGTACTTAAGTAAAGCCCCTTAACACGCCTGATATCACTGTACTGTACAGTTTTACTGTATCTAAAAATAAGATGTATTCAAGTGAAAATAGAAGTGGAAACTTTAACAGGAAAAACTCAGAGTAGTTGTTACTAGCTCCTTCTCACCCCATTTTATTTTCCCTCTAAGAACCAACACCTCAGCAGACAAACAAGCCAACAACAAATGTTTGTTTGTGCACGTATGTGAGAGAGAGAGAGAGTGAGGAAGTCAGTGAGTGAAATGACAGACAGAAGTTAAGAACGTTACAAAGTTTATAGCCAGGTTCCCACCCCTGTTAAAATGGTGAGGGATGGCTATTTCACACCTCTTTCGTGTGTGTATGTGTGTGCGTGAGATGGGGTGGAAGAGGAGGGTGAGGCGAACCGCCAAGGGGGTGAGAATGAGAGGTACTGTGATGGGTAATGACTTAGGCAAATGGCGAGCGGGCGATATACAGGAGTCGATAGTTTTGACAGTGGTTCATAGGCTCGTGGTATCTGAAAATCTTGGGAAATTGAACACACACACACTCACATACAGTACACCCTGTCTCTGTTTCCACTTTCAGACATGCACTGTAATCTGAAAAATGCTGTGCCAATTTTACATGTAGGCCTCGTGTTTGAAAAGGACCCGAGTGATTTTCCCATAAAAGTCACTCTGACAATCTGCCTACTTACAACCTGGTAACAGTTCTGAAACATTTTCTGCATGGACCGTCACACTGCCAATGATATAGTTGCCTTACATATATATATATATATAT